GGTCACACACAGGTATGTGCCCACGTCAGCGCCACCACAGTCCTCCAGCGGGCACTGCCTCTGCCTGCCCTGTGTTTGCCAAGTGGTTTCCATGGCGACACATCTTGGCTCAGACAGGGACAGACAGTGCAGGGAAGCCGGTCTCCACGGAGGGGACGCGAGGTCTCTGGGCAGGCAGGGAGCGGGCTCCCACGAGTAGAGACGCCCCTCCCCACCCTGATCTCGGCTGGCGCCCTGAAAGGGCAGCTCTGGGACGGTTCCTCTGGGCCACCAGCTATAGGAGTTCCCTTAGGTCACTCAGTCACTCAACAAACCTGCGCTGGCTGTGAAGTGCCTGAGACGTGGGCCTGGCTCACATGGGCTCATGGTCGTGTCCTGAGACTGGTCTGTTGTCCCCCTGCCCCACTGAAAGCCCATCCCAGGCAGACCAGTGGCTCCCGGAGCACCAAGGCCCAGCCGCCCACCTTCGAGGAGATTGGCTCCGTGGGATGGACGCTGGGCTCCCTCTCTGTGGTGGGTCAACTGCGAAAGTGACCCCATTCCCACCCTCCCTGATCACCTGTGCCCCACCCTTCAGTCCAGCCTGTCTGGGGACTTGCTTTGGACAGTGAAGATGACAGAAGGACCCTCTCCGGTTCTGAGCTTAGGCCTAAGGGACAGGTGTGCTTCTGCCTGCTCTCTTGGACTCCCGCAGCGGTGTCCAAACAAGCCTGTGCTGTCCACTAGGTCATCCTGGCAGAGGCCTCCCTAGACCAGTTATTCCCATGTTGACCACGGATGCACAGAGTGAGCCCAGAGCAGCTGGCTGGCCCCAAGACCCTTTAGAAATAATAAAAAGTTGTTTCAAATCCCTGGAACCTCAACGGTTATTTGTTAGACGACTGTAGCTGTCACAGCCTCTTCCAAGGGCCCTGGACAGCAACCACCTGACTGCATGCAGTCAGCGCAGGCCAAGTGCACTAAGTTTCCCTGGATGCTGAGGACACGGACCTACTATGTGCTGGAGTCCAGGATGGACATGCATGTATAGGACCTGCCTCTCCTTCTGGGAGCCTCAGTGCTGAGGTGGCTTTCCTAGTCCCAGCTTCAAGGTGGAAGAGGTCCGTGACCTGCTCAAGGCTCAGGACACACAGGGACAGGTGGGCGTCTACATCAGAGCTTTTCACTGTTTTCCTCCCTGTGGACACCTGTTTCACTTCCCGGGTAACTGCATGCATTAGGTCAAAATCTGTGTGATTCTTTGGTCCTTGATTTTTTTCGGGTTTTTTTTGTTGTTGTGAATCTTTACCTGAGGATATTTTTCCATTGATTTTTAGAGAGAGTGTGAGGGAGGGAGGGATGGAGGGAGGAGGGAGGGGGAGAGAGAGAAACATTGGTGTGAGACACATCGATTGGTTGCCTCCAGTGTGCACCCCAACCGGGGCAGGGGGTCAAACCTGTAACCCAGGTACCTGCCTTTGACTGGGACTAGAACCTGCGACCCTTTGGTGGAAGGGTCAACGCTCTCATCACTGAGCCATCCCAGCCAGGGCCGGTCCCTACTCACTGAGGACTGTGGCTCAGGGCATCTGCCTGGTGGGGCATCTAATGGGCAGGGTCCCCTTCCTCCCTGGGCTGAGCGCGGGGCTCCACCGGGCCCCTCTGGCGTCGTTTTCCCCACTCTCTTGTCAGCACCTGTGTTCCCTTACTGACGGTGGGAGTATGTCACCCAGCGGGTCTCACTGTTTGCAGGGAGATGGGTGACCCACCTAACCCAGCTCCTTTCACTGGGAAATCTGCCTAGCAACAGTGCTGATGTTCACCTGCTGCTCCCTGATTGGGCACACCAGCCAAAGTCCATTCTGATTGGCTGGTGCCCTTCTGTCAAATACCTGTTTGGTCTCCTCCTGGGTTAAAGGGATAGAAGGGGGTCAGGACCGTCCTGCCCAGGAT